GAATAGAATAGAAAATATGGAATGGAATGGAATAGAATAGAATAGAATACTTTATTGGCCAAGTGTGATTGGACATAAGGAATTTGTCTTGGTGTAAATACCCTCAGTATACATAAAAAAAAGATACATTCATTAAGAATCAAGAATCATAACGTACAACACTTAATGATAGTCATAGGGTACAATCAACAATCAAATCATACTAGGAAACAGTCAATATAAATCATACGGATACAAGCAACAAAGTTACAGTCCTACAATCACAAGTGAGAGTGGATGGGTAATAAGGAGTGATGAGAAGATTAACAGTAATAGTAGTGTACACTTTGTAAATAGTTGAACAGTGTTGAGGGAATTATTTGTTTAGCAGAGTGATGGCTTTCGGGGAAAAACTGTTCTTGTTTGAGGGAAGGAGTTGAAACAGTTTATGTCTGGGATGTGAGGGGTCTGTAAAAATTTTCACAGCCCTCTTTTTGACTCGTGCAGTATACAGGTCCTCAATTGAAGGCAGGTGGGTAGTAATTGTTTTTTTCTGCAGTCCTAATTATCCTCTGAAGTCTGTGTCTGTCCTGTTGGGTTGCAGAACCAAACCAGACAGTTATAGAGGTGCAGATGACAGACTCAATAATTCCTCTGTAGAACTGTATCAGCAGCTCCTTGGGCAGTTTGAGCTTTCTGAGTTGGCGCAGAAAGAACATTCTTTGTTGTGCTGTTTTGTGTTTTTGATGTTAGGTGTCCATTTTAGGTCATGTGATATAGTAGAACCTCGAAATTTGAAGATCTCTACTGTTGATACTGTGTTGTCTAGTATTGTAAGAGGTGGTAGTATGGGAGGGCTCCTTCTAAAGTCTATCACCATTTCTACAGTTTTGAGTGTGTTCAGTTCCAGTTTGTTCCGGTTACACCCCAAGGCAAGTTGTATAACGTCCTGTCTGTATGTGGATTCATTGTTGTCTCGAATGAGACCAATCACTGTTATGTCATCAACAAACTTCAGTATTTTAACAGATGGATCATTTGAGATGTAGCCATTGGTATATAGGGAGAAGAGAACTGAAGATAGCACACAGCTTTGGGGGGGCCCTATGCTAATTGTACAGGTATTGGTTGTGATTCCACCTAGCTTCACCTGCTGCTTCCTGTCTGTTAGACAATGTCATATAGTATATTCGTGTATGTGTGATTGACAGGTTCTTAAAACTAGGACCACTAGTTTAACTTGGATCAGATCTGAATAGGGTGCTAGTAAAAAGCACCTATGCTGTAATACATGGGTGTCAAACTCGCCGTGTCACATTGCTGTCAGGTGAAGTTTCACAACAATTTCCCCATTCATGGAGCTCAGGTGGGCGTGGCCTGCACATGACGCATCAGGCCCATGGGCCATTAGTTTGGCATGCCTGCTGTAACAAATCATAATAATATCAGGGAACATTCAGAACAGCAAAATAGCACTGCTATGGATTAAGCAGAGGAATTCAATAAAAATGCTTTAGTAATGCAGTACTGTGCTAAAATGGGAGACACCAATAGCCTGCAGTGACAATTGTTAATGCAGTTAAGTAAAAGCCACATTTATTATTTGAGCAGGACAGTGCTTTGTAGAAGCAATACATAGTTCCTGTATTTATGTACATGCTTTCAACTGTTAAGTGGGCAGGAACTGGGCAAGTAAAGGGGGCTCACCCATTGTGCATTGGGGGATAGCCTACTGGATGGAAACTTCTGGGAGTTGGAAGCCTCCACAAGTTGTCAAAGTTGAGAAACCCTATTATAAAGTATAGATTACTGTATGAACCATAATTGTTGGCTTCACAGTGCACCTTAATTTCAAATTATTATGCTTTAGCAGTATTATCTGCAGCCTATAGTATTTCTTATAATATTTCTCCCTAAGAATTGGATTTAGGATTGCAGCCTTAATCCATTGTTTACTTAACTATCTGTCTAGAAAAAAAAAGATAAATGTCTTCTTCACTGTTGGCTGGGATGATGGAAGCCGTCACTCATCCACTGCCCTGCCTCCCCAAAGAGGAAAGGGAAAGCAAGAGTCAACGTCGGGCATAGAACGCCGCGAAGACTTCACTTTTCCTGCCGCGCACGCCCTGAACCGCTGCGCATGCTCCCATGGAGGAGACGCGCGTGTCGGCAGGCTCCAGCCTTACAACTCCGCGCTGAGAGCGATGCGTCTTCTTGGGGGAGGGAGGCGGGGCGCTCAGATACAGAGAAGGCCGGGAGAGGCAGAGGGAAGGTACGACGGCGCGCCCCCTCCCCCCTCCCCGCCAAAGGCTGGAAGGCGGGGCCTGCGAGGGGAGGAGAGAACGCAGGCCCTTCCAGCGAACGGCGCGAGCGTCCGGGCTAGGATGCTCTTGGTATCGCCCTGCGGGGGCAGCAGCTGCAGCAGTAGCAGAAGCCGTGCCAGGGACTAACCCGCCGCTTCGCTCCTGCCGCAGCCGCGCTAGCGCCCGACGTGCTACCCGAGAACCAGCCAGCCAGCCAGCAGGGCTGCCTGGTTTTACTGGCCCCTCCTTTCCCGCCGTCTCTTCCTTTCCCTCCCCTGCCCGTTGGCGGCTCCGGGGCACTGACCCTCGCCGTCCTTTTTCTCCTCTTCCTCCTGGGTTGCTCCTCGGCGGCTCCCATGGCGGCCCCGGGTAATATCGTGTCCGTTATGGCGAGTAAGACCAAGACCAAGAAGAAGCATTTCGTGGCCCAGAAAGTCAAGCTCTTCCGGGCCAGCGATCCGCTGCTTAGCGTCCTCATGTGGGGAGTGAACCATTCGGTAAGACGCCGCTGCCGCGCAGACGACTCCGGGGGGCGGGAAAGACTTGCCTGGTTGTAGTTTCCCCTCCAGCCCAACGCTCTCCTGGCGCAACGGGCTGCAGACAGTCCATCAGCCCCGGCTAGCTGGCGGCTGAGCAGGATGGGAACTATAGTACCGCGCCTGTGGAGAGCGTCATATAGGGAGAAGGATTCCCTTCGATTTTACAGGTGTGTTGTCGCCTGCCTCAGTTTCTCTTCTGGCATAAGAAAGGTGTGATGGGGATTGATGTAGCTCTCAGCTTCTAATCAATTGCTGCTGCCCTGTGACTGCAACTCCCTCCCCCCAATCTTGCAGGGCCATCTTGCTCTTTCACACCTCGGATTTAGACTAAGCTGCAGGAATTCAGAAGTAGCGGTGCTCCATAACTGGATTGGTATAGTTGGTTGAAAGAGGATACAGAATTTCATTCCGGGAAAGAGATGCTCATCTGCAGGCAGGATAGATAACCTTTGGATCCACTAATGCAGTGCTATGTTTCCTTTGGGATGTCAACAGCTGTGGGTGTGCAGTTTCCCATTGTTTTTCTGTTCCTATGTGTGGCTGCATCTTTGCAAAGCCTTCAATGCGTAAGATAAGTAATTCTGCTTCAAGCAAGGGCTAAATATCAGCTGCTAGAATATTTCCTTTAATGTTTGCATGTAAGCACCCAAAGATGACTGTTCATAATGCTAGACAGACATTAGCTTGGTTGGACAAATAACTATTTTTATTTCCTGTGTCATCTTCACCCAGAAAACACGGGGGTGCAAACCCAGAGCACATGTCACTGTATGTATATTTGTTGTGATTTGTGATAGACAACATCATAATTGAATGTCTACTTGGCTAATGGTTTTATTACCTCCACATTTTGATGTATTTTCCATAGTATTGTTAAAAATCAGTCAATAAAACAGTGCAAATGAATTGGAAAACTTTTTTCATTTAATCCCCAGTACATTCAGTGGACCATGTAGTAGAAAGCAGAGCAGTAAGCAATATCTGTGGTAAAGGTAGGGTAGCTATAGTAGAGAAGGTGATGGCAATGTGCTGGTTTGGAATACTGCAGTGTCCTGTTTCTCAGTTGGGAATAACAGTTCATTTAAGTATGCAGTATTATGCTAGTCAGATCAGGGAGAAAAGAAATGTATAATATAGCTTGAGAGAAGAAAAATACTATTGAAGATAACATGATTTTGATAAAGATAAAACTTGTGATCTAAGCTGTTAGAAATGAGAGAATGCCAATGGTATAGGAAGTGAAGAAAGTGTCTCATTGTAATTGTATGAGAATTATATTCACCTGGTATGGGGAAGTAATACTGCAACTGTTTGTGTGTGTGTGTGTGTGTGCGCGCACGTGCGCACGCGTATGCACATAGACCAAATATGCAGGGTTTTGTTCAGAGTGGTAGCAAAGATTGGTTCTAAAGATTATGGCGGCCTGTTTCTTATGAACTTTTGAAATTTGCTTCTTTTTTTATTCAGCACAAGGATTAACATCTCATTAAAGGAGAAAAAACCTGCTTAAAGCAATAGTTAATAAAGCACAAGTCATATGCTTCCCCCCCAAATAGATAGTATTGTGTGACTTTAATATAATGAGAATTTGCTTCATTGCATAATGTTGTATGTCCATATATATCAGCTGCCATATCTTTCAGCAGAAGCTATATTTGGATTTGCATAATGATTCTAAATTCATAGTTAATTTGTAGTCTTCTTTTTCCTGGAAAGCTGGTCCCATGCCCTGCTGTAAATATGAGTACAGCTAAATTCACTGAATGCTTATATCGAGAATGCTCAGGCATGATTAACTTTCATACAAAAGTGCTGTTCGAAACATAAAACTTCCTTAACTTGAATAAAATGATAACTTTCACATCACATATAGTTTGACTTCACAAACTCTATCTAGGCCACAGTTTCTCAACCTTGGCCCTTTCAAAAGATGTGGACCCCAACTCCCAGAATTGCCCATCCAATATGTCTGACTTGTCCAAACCTCATAAAAAGGCCAATGTTAAGAAACACTGTTGTAGGCTAAACTGGTAGCCAGCTAGTGGTTTTGCGACTAATCTGACAATGCTATACATAAAATACAATGGATATTCTGCCTTGAGCAAAGATGAGTATATGTGCACATATTTGCTCATACCACACATTAATATGAAGGTTTGAGGAAGTTAGCTAATTCAGCTTCTGATTCTAAAGTAGACATTTTCTTACTTTCTTCTTGAAATACAGATGGAGGATTTAGAGAAATAACAAATAGGATAACAATTAACCTTTCATTGCATAAATGTTATTTTTATGAGTTTTATTTTCCCTCAAAGTTACATGAATATTAGTTTGTACTGTGCTTTGCTGAAAGTTCTAACAACTTTTTTTTAATGAAAAAGGAAGAATTCTGCATGAAAACTTTCCATTAAGTCTATATTTGTTATATTTTCAAGAGAAGAGAGCAGATCTGGAGGGTGGCTTCTGATAATTGATTATATAAAAAGAAGTCTATAACAGTAAAGTCATAAGTTGCTTATAATGTGGTAACAAATAATACTCTACAAGAACATTACAAGAAGTTGTTACAGTAGATTATTATGCTATAGGATATGAATTAATTAAAATTTTATTGAGAGGTTTCCAGAAAGTTAATACAGTACTGAGAATCATGGTACATCTGGGAAAATATATATTTATACATCATCTTCAGTTTTGAAATTAAATAAGTGAAAGGAAACTCAACTCATAACTCAGAAAACAATTTTAGAACATATTTAGTATATGTTGAATTGTAACAATAAAACTAAAAGGTAAACCTTTGAAAGATATATTTTTCTGGTTTCACTATCAATAATTACCTTTAATGAGAAAAAGAGTTGTGAAGAGTTAAATTTTCATTTTACCTTCAGTTAAACTTATCTGTTCAAAGTAGTATATTCATTTGGCAAATAATTTTCTCAACAATTCTACATTTTCAGACAACAGCTGCTGTAAACCTTGCCACCAACTAGAATTGATAGGAGCCAAAGCCTAAACTTCTTGCATATTTGATTAGAGTTATGCAAAGGTTATAACAGTGTTATTCTCTTTTTTGTTCAGTCTATTACCCTTTTTTAATATTGCTTTGTACAATCCTGAATTCTATTCTTTGCTCTGCCACCAATAGCTCAGGCAGTACAAATATATTGTAAAATTTTCAATCCTATTCATCACTTCATATTTTCTTATGCTGGAATGCCCATCCTAATCATCAGTTATTTTGTGTTGTCCTAAGTGTTTCATCTCTGTCAAATTATTTGCATCTCATTTCAAATAAACTAGTGAAAAAGCGAGTGTGAAATATTTGGGATTTCCCCCTCCATAACAGTATGAAAACTGACCACCTATTCTTACTTTCTGGTTATCTTTTAGAGGACTACATTAATTAGTACAGGATTACATTAATTGGAACTACATTAATTTAGAGGAATTACTAAATATATTCATATGATTTTGATAAGAGATTTTTGACAGAGCTCTTAGATGGTTGTTGGCAAGAAGTGAATTTGCTGACAACACTCAACATGACTTCTATAAAATAAAGTATTGGTATTGCATACATTAGCTTCTGGATAATTAGGTAGATACACCTCCCTTCCCATGTTTTTTGTGTCAGGGTTCACATCAAGCTAGGACAGATATTTAAATGCCAGTTATAGGCATATCATTCTATGCAATTTGGATTTGGTGTCTGAATTTCCCTAAAGTATTGAAAATGGAAAATACTTTATTATATCAGCGATTGAAAACTGAATATTGATCGTGGGTGTTGGCTAAAAAAAGCAAGTTAATTATTTACTTAAAAAATAACTTTACATTTTCTGCTGATTTCCTGCATCTTCAATATCTACTCACCACGACTTGAGATAAAGTAACATAGCACAGTCCAGTATACAGTTACAATTACAAAATCTACAATAGCCGCTGGGCTAACATAAGTAAACACACAGTATCCTAAAGTAATTAATACTGACTCATTCAATGACTATTTAAATGTCTTTGAGTTTTTAAAATGCAGATTACCTTTTTTATGTACATACTTTATTAGATTACTCTACTTGTCTAGAAAATTATCACATCATATGACAGTTCCTAACTGCCATTCCTCCCCACAAGTGGTCTGCAGAGTATATCAAATAGTTTATACAGGTAAATTCTTTAGTCGGGGAAGATTTCTACCTGTAGGTGGATATGAATAAAGAAACTACTCTAAAGTAACTACTCATATTCTTCTTGGTTTCTTTGGGCTGATATTAATAAACAAAATAAAAATTAGTTTATAAATAATAATAAATTAGTTTATAAAAAGAAAAGTTCAGAAGGTACAGAAAAATGAAAAAAGTAGAATAACAAAGACAATAAATAAATTGTTTCCAGCTTCATTATAATTATAATAAGTTAATATACTGTTGGGAAATAAAAAGTGAGCTGGAAGGAGTGAGACCTAGCTTAGAGTCCTTGTACTGCCGCAAAAGGCATAAAGCTTGACTTCCCCGAAGCTCCATGAAGCCGTTATTTCATCATTCCCAGGGGAAGGCAAGCAGTCTAGGAAAATTCTTGTAACATAGAAGTCAATAAATTTTTTACTTCAACTATTTACAAGCAGCTCTGGTTGCTTGTTCCTGACATACACTTTCACTCTTATTTAATATAACAATAAAACATCTTTTCTATATTTGTTTATTGTATTCCTATTTTAGTAATTTTAATTTTTGTCCTTCATACCTAAAAACTTTGTAATATCTATATCAAATAAATATTTTCTTAAATTTGTTTTTATCTTCTAAACATTTATTCATTGAAATTTGTATCCCTTTTGAGATATTAATTATCAATATTTAAGGCTATCTTTCAAAAAGTTCAAGATAACAAACAGTTATAGCTATTAGTCATTTACAGCCAAAAGTTTTAGCTTAGCCATTTCTACTTAGTCCTTT